GCTGAAAGGGCGAGCATGTTTGGTGTGACGGGAATTGCGAGTCGAGCGCTCCAACCACCTGGCCATGCAGGGCCTGCCTTTCCTAATAGTAATCTAATATTAGAGTTGAAAGTCACGGTGAATTTAAAAAACGAGCCTGATGCAAAAATATTCACGAAGTTATAAAAAATAAATAATAACATTCACATCTTGTCACTAAAAATAAAATAACCGTGAAAAATAGAATGACATTTGACATTTTTATTTCTTCAGTAATTTCCCACACGTAGGACAGTAGAAAGTTTACGGACTTACAACGATAAAATCCGGGTTTCGATATTAGTGGTGGGCAGAGCACAATTAGCCCATTGTGTACCTTTGTGCTGAACTTCAAACAAACAAACAAATCTTTAGTAATTTCACCCAGATAGGACAGTGGAAAGTTTACAAACTTACAACGATAAAATCAGGGTTTCGATACCAGTGGTGGGCAGAGCACAATTAGCCCATTGTGTACCTTTGTGCTTAACTTCAAACAAACAAACAAATCTTTAGTAATTTCACCCAGATAGGACAGCGGAAAGTTTACGGACTTACAACGATAAAATCCGGGTTTCGATACCAGTGGTGGGCAGAGCACAGTTAGCCGAATGTGTCTTTGCTCTAAAGAAACAAATCTACAATAATCGGAATACTTACATCAGAATTATTGCAAAAATACATGTTTTTGTTGAATTTTGCTAATCGATGAATATCTGCAGTATAGCCGTCCCTGATTTTGAGGTGATAGACTAGAGGGAAGACAATACTTACCGCCAACTCGTCGGCTACTCTAATCGAATAGTGGGATTCGACAGTCATTTTTATAACTCACCAGCGGCTCCAAAATATGGAACGCGATTTTGTATGTAGCAGTAGAGGGACGCGAGCCACGGATACACAGTTAGACTCGATGACCATTGGAACGCGCTCTGCAAAAAAAATTTTGTTTCAGTAAAAAACAAAACAAAAATGTGATCACCAGTGGGTTCCGTACAATATCAGTCTACTCTTGTAATGTAAGAAGTACCGTGTCTAAGTGAAATATTGATGGCAAATAAGGAAGTAAAACAGTTATGGTATAGTTAGAATGGGTTAGCTGTGCTCTGCCCATCACGGGTATTGAAACCCGGTTTCTAGATATACCGCTGTGCCACTGGGGGGCTTCTGGTGATGAAGATTAACAAGGAAAACGAAAAGTAGTTTTATTCTCAACCTCAGAGACTTCCAAGGTTGGTTTCAATGCTTAATTTTTACTATCTTCTATATTTGTCAAGCTATCAAACTGCTGTATGCCGTAAAGGAATTATATTATACCCGTGTTAATTTAATGTAGCGAATTGAGATAATACGCTACCTGTCAAATTATATAAAAAGAATACTTGGTGTCAGTGGTCTGAATTAATGAATGAAAATTGTACTAAAATTTTACTCCCCTAACTGAATGTTGTTGAAATTTGTAGGTACACGTTTTTTTTTTTCTCTAAAACAAAAAGAAAAATTCCATTCAGCGAAAGACGTTTCCATCAATTTTCGTGGAGCAACACATGCGCATTGGAAGGCTCTCCTTGCTATGTTGCTATTGGAAACACGTTGTATTTGACACAACACTAATATTAAGCCCACGAGAGAAATAAGTTGTTCCAGTGGTCACGAGAATATAATAATCTAGAAGATCGTGGTGTTTGGATTCCCTTGGCGATAACTTCGTCACGAAACCTGATGACAAACTTCCCCCTAGATTCTGAAAATATAATTTTATATAAAAAAAAAGTTTTCCTTATACTTTTCTATAAATCAGGACTCTCACCAAGAAAGGTAAAAACAACAACAAAAACCTTAAATAAAGGATTCGTGTAACTTTATATCAATTAATTTATGCTCAATCTTAAGTTCTATGAGTGAAACAAGGTTGATTATTCGTTCTCGTTAGCCCCTGGTGACTTAACGATGAGGCTGAAGACATATAACACTAAAATTCAAAGTTCGATCCTAGCAGTAAGCACAGCGCTTAACAATGAATAAATAATTCATTCCTTTTCAAACACAGTTTTTTATTAAATTAAATTACAATGCCAATGTTTAATAAGTTCTAAACAATATTATTTTTACTTCCATGAACACAATAATTTACGCCCAAAACATTGTACTGTTTTACATGAGATTTTTCCCGTATCAAAAATATAATTCAAAATGAATATGGAATTTCGGCAAATACTGATTTATTGCCCGTATCAAAAATATAATTCAAAATGAATATGGAATTTCGGCAAATACTGATTTATTTCCCGTATCAAAAACATAATTAAAATTGAATATGGAATTTCGGCAAATAATGATATTTTTCCCGTATCAAAAATATAATTCAAAATGAATATGGAATTTCGGCAAATACTGATATATTTCCCGTATCAAAAACATAATTCAAATTGAATATGGAATTTCGGCAAATAATAATATTTTGATGAGTTGTAAACAGTTGTGCTGGTTTATCCATAATTCAAATAAATTTAATTCAACTTTATTCATTTACTAGATAATGCAGTAAGTTGTAAATAATTAATAGTTTTAACTGATAAATACAGAAAAAACAAAATTTGGAACGCTTATACAAAGGCATCTCTTTGACAGGAAAGAAGCATTAATCATTTGAAAGAAAAACAGTATCTATAGAAATACAAATAAGTAACAGCAGCTATTAGATACATCTAGGTTTTTGATGTATACAAATAACCAAGTAAACCACACATTTAATGAATTGGTTTGAAAATTAATTTATATTTTTTACTGAGGTCTGTTCTCGTGCCCGGCATGGCCATGTGGTTAGGGCGCTCGAGTCGCAGTCTGACGGTCGCGAGTTCGAATCCCCGTCACACCAAACATGCTCGCACTTTCAGCAGGGCGGGTGTTATAAGTTGACGGTCAATCCCACTATTCGTTGGCAAAAGAGTAGCCCAAGAGTTAACTTAACAAACAAATAATAAATGTAGATAAATATAACTATAATATAAAGTTATCCAATCAAACAGTCTTCTAAATAGTCTTTTGTTTTGTTTATTAAACCTATTTATCTCACGGCAGTTTTTCTAATATATCATATTGTGCTCAAACCAGATTCGTTTATAAATCAATTGTAATACCTAAAACTGCTTAACATCTTTCAAACATTCATGTACATATCATGTTCATGTCTTTCAAACATTCAAACTCCATTCATGTACATATTTACTTCCTTTCTGCAAGTATTTGTATTGTGAAAAAGTATAAATTAATTATTTTCAAGATTTACAAACAAATCACTAAGCCAATAACTTAAGCTATTTAACGACAAACTAACCACTTTAACCAATGACCTTAAGTTATTATTATGAGTTACACTGTAGTATTATCCGTGAATGAAGCCTGCTTTACATAAAATAATAAATCTGGAATGTCGCCAACATATAATAAACGAAACAGTGGTCCCAAAACAGATCATTTAGGAATACCTCTTGTATTTATTCATTAATCAAAACATTTTTTATCAATATTTTGTACCGAGACTCTGCTTTTTAAATAGGTATCAAACCAATTGTAAGTTTTACCTTTTACTCCCATATTATATATGTATATATTTCTTAACAACAACTTACGATGTATGCAGCTAAATGCTTTAAATTGATTTTTGTTTCTTTGAGAGCCAAACTACAATGGGCTACCTGGCCTGTCCACCGCGGGAAATCGAACCTCGGCCTGTAGCATTGTAAGTTATAGTTATCGTTCTATACTTGTTGGCCCGGCATGGCCAGGTGGTTAGGGCACTCGACTCACAATCTGAGGGTCACGGGTTCAAATCCCCGTCACACCAAACATGCTCGCCCTTTCAGCCGTGGGGGCGTTATAATGTGACGGTCAATCCCACTATTCGTTGGCAAAAGAGTAGCCCAAGAGTTGGCGGTGGGTGGTGATGACTAGCTGCCTTCCCTCTAGCCTTACACTGCTAAATTAGGGACGGCTAGCGCAGATAGCCCTCGTGTAACTTTGCGCGAAATTCAAAACAAACAAACAAACTATACTTGTTATATTTGTCCTTTTTAACTATCAGTATTATTTTTGACTTTTGTCAATGCTTAAACTAAATATGTATTACAATGGAACAGCAGTAGACTTAAATATGTGTGTAACTACTAAATAAATATTGTTCGATCTAGCTTTCTAGGTAGTCTTAGATTCTTTACAATATCAGTTATTTCGCTAATGGTTATTGCTTTCACAAATAAACTTAAAAAATATTTTTATTTATTTATTACCATTGTCGCTAACAGGTTTTAACAATTACTGTATCTCCTTAATGTCCCCCGATAGGACAGCGTTTAGTTTACGGACTTACAAAACTATATGGCATGACCAGATGATTAGAGCGCTTGACTCGCAATCTGTGGGTCGCGATTTTGGAGGTTCACCGCGTCATTACAGTCCATGTAGTAATGTGCAGTCATGCTCTATTTGAGAACTGTGCATCTGGAAAATATGTTTGCAGCGTATTACTTCCATTGTCATGTACAAAGCATATTCCCTCCTCTCTGCATGTGCTCCATTATCCGTCTAGGTTACGAGGACGAAGGTTTTTCAGCTCGCATTTCAACAGTCCGATCGCATACAAATACCTGAAAGCGCTGTTTCCAGCAACTTTACAGGTATGTCTTATAATAGAATAGCACGATAGAATAGCTGTTTCATTCTCCACTTCCTTGAGGTATGAGGTGAATATGCCGTGGAAGCAGCTTGTGTACATGTGAGTTATGTCGCTTTTTCAGAACGAAGATCATTCTTGATTATGTTGCCTGGAGTACGTGGTGGTTTTTTTTACTGACCCTTTTGTTAGTGGAATCTCACCCGTTAAATGACGCCGCACTTTGCTTAGCACCTCGGGAGTGAGACTTATTGTGGGTATCTTTCTCGATGTTTCTGGTGCCCTATGTTGATCAATGTTCCTTTGTTTTCCATTCCCATTAAATTCAAGGATTATCTTCATCTTTGAAATTCGAAATCCTCTACCAGTATGACCTGAAAGTATAAATATTTTGCGTTACAAAAAGCTGTAATATACCTTTCCCAAAAAAGAGATCAATTTTCGGTGGAATCACACTACTTACGTAACGCCAAGCAATGTCAAAATGTAGTTCTGATACATTCCGTTCCATCACGACTTTATATCGGTTGTGGTTGCCGCATGATTTGCTGATTCGCATATTCAAAATCGTTTTAATATAACGTACTCAGCCCACTGTAAAATGTGACATCTTGGAATATTTAACTGTGTACAAATTGCAAGGAAACTAAAATTTTTAATTATTTATTAATTATTTTTTGTGACTTTGACTCATCTACAAATAAGTTTTCCAATTTCTTTGATCATTTTGCTAAAACTCATTAAAGGAAAAACATTTTTCTTTCTCGATTATTTCGCCTTACGGCTCCATCAGTTTACCATTATACATAATAGGGCACAAGACGAATTTGTTACGGTTTAACGTAATGCACTGAATGCTATTCACAATATCTTATAATAATTAATTCCGTATTGTTATATCTAAGTTCTATGGTGCATATTGGTGTATAAAAGACATTTTAATTCTAGAAATAAACGACCTCAGAACACGAAATTTATTTTTTTAAATGGACACTTAACATTTCACTTTACAGCTTCTTCAGGAGCACTCCACTAAAACACAAACAATAACTGACAGTACAAATTTGATGTTATAAAGTCGTATATTCTTAGTTTTAAAATGTATTGTTATATTATCAGGTAAAACATTTTTGAGTTTTGAAGACAATAGTATTAAATAACATTACGTATACAATCAGGAAATATAAGGTATGAATATATATTTAAACAAGAAAAAAATCCTCAATTGCGCGGCACTCCCCCCCCCC